TTTGTAGAGTTTTCGAGAGTGGCCGTCCACTTACCTCGGTCCTATCTTTGATTTATTGTAGAACATTAAACCCACAACCCACCCACGGAGAAAAGGAAACGCGATAGCCGCTATTTGGCCGACGTGATAGTCACTCTTTGGCCGACAGTGCCCCCCTCGTCTCCACTCTCATCCAGAACTACAAGTCAATTACGGTATTTTTTTTTGGGTTGGGGCGGGTCGTGCCTCTCGGTATTTTTCTTCCTTGCACCTCTTGTCCGACGTTCCCGCCCTCTTGTTGCTCTTGTTGTCGCCTTCGTGTGTGGTATAAAAGCGCCCCCTTTCTGAACTCAAGTACACGCCTCTGTTTGGGAGGGTGTCGGCATTTTTTTTCTTCTTCCCGAAATAATGGCTTCTTTCCCGGTTTTTAAATATGGGGGTGTACGGGTGTTTCTGAATTTGATTTCCGATCTCTAATTTGAGCAATTGATTCAACTTTATGTTTATTTATTTTTTTATTTTTTCAGGGGAGAGATGATGTTGGGTTTGGCCAGTGGATTTAAGAGAACTTACCTTTTCAAGTGACCTCACTCCACCATTGAAAAGTGTGTATTATCCAGACCTTCGTCGTCCTTTCGAAGTATTGTATGAATAAATTACGTGCGAGAGACGTTTCTTTCTATCTCATTCCCGAAAAGTGTGCTCGCCAAAATCATCGCAAGTGTCCAGGAAGTGTTTGTTTATCTTGTTACACAAACGAACAAGAAAATACGGACTCGCACGTTCTGGCGATAGAATAACCGAGAGAGTTATTTCAGGATCTTTGCTCTACTACCGACTTGACCTTTTCATTCTCGTTTTCCTAGTTTCTATATTATCACGTACATTTTCAGCGCCTGTTAATTAAATTATTGTCTCGTGGCAGGGGACCCCGATTTTGCGCCTGTGATTTTCACCGAGATGCGTATTATTAATGATATAGGCGGTAAAAGAACGGATGCCCACTGGTTAGATTCATGATCAGATCGGATCGGATCAGATCGGGTAATGGCGTTGGCTAGTGCACACTAATACAAATTGACTTCTGCTTTGCTTCGTCAAATTTGACCCAGAAGTGAACTAGGGCGTGGGTGGTTGGCGGGCGCTCTGGTGTGGTTTGTTCCTTCTTTCCTATCAAACATCTATCGTCCTTATCTACCCTTCTTCTTTTTTATGTTTGTTACTCTCTTGTAACACTTCTTACCTTCTGGCGCTCATAATTATGACCGTATGCAGTTGCAATCGCCGTAAAACCTCTACTAAAACTAAAAAAACATATATCGTCCTTATCTCTCCTCCTTTATTTTGTGTTGGTTACTCTCTTGTAACACCTCTAGTCTTCGGCACTTATTGGACCTTATTGTGTTGCAAGTGCCGTAAAACTCTTACGAAAATTAAAAATTAAAAACTGAACTAGGGCCTGTCCCATTCCACGTTCACGATTAATAAAAAAAAAACTATTTGACCCCGCAGTGTGTGGGGTAGGTCTTCTGTTCTGATTGCCTGTTTTCGTCAGACTGATGGGGACTAGAAAAGCAAACACGTTTGATTTCGGTGGATTCGATCAAATTGTGCCAACGTTTTTTCCACCACATAAGGGGAAAAAATTAGGCCGCCCTCAAATTTATCGAACCATATTTTTATCAGGTAGGGATCTGACAAAACTTTCTGCAATGTGCGCTGGGTATAACCAAGGGAAATGAACCACCAGCGCTCTCGGAGATAAGGTGGATGTGTGTGAGCTGAACGCAACTGGCGTCGCTCGCTCACGTACCTACGTGTGTGTGAGTGTGTATGTGTGTTACTTGTGGAATGTGCTCCCAGAGTTGAAGGTTTCCCGTTGCCCCCAGCGTGCTTACCTTGGGCAAGAAAACCCGCCGATGTGTGTCATTGTATATTTGTTTGTTTGTTTGTTTGTGTGTGTGTGTGTGTGTGTGTGTGTGTGTGTGTGTGTGTGTTTGTGTATTGCTGTTGTTGTTGTTGTTGTATGTGTGTATTTGTGTGTTCTTGTTGTGTGTTTTTGTGTGTGCATGCGCGTGTGGGCATGTATGCGCGTGTGTCTTAGTGTGCATGGGTGTGTATATATGTTAACGTGTGCGTGCTTGTGTGTGTGTGTGTGTGTGTGTGTGTGTGTGTGTGTGTGTGTGTGTGTGTGTTGCCTAGCACTTTGTTTATGTTTCAGCCTTATTCCCCTTCCTCCTGTTCTTCCTCCACCGTGCCCCTGGTGCTGACTGGGTTGGGAGTGCGCGTGCGACAACCGTGTTTATGCGCGGGCTAGGTGTATGCGGGTTAAAAATATCGTCAGGTGCCGCTCCGGTCGCGGTGAGTCAGCGGGCAAAGTTGTGGGCGAAATGCTAAATTTGGAACAGCAGGTTTCTTTCATGTGCCCTCTTTCCCAAGACTTTTTTTCTAATAGCAAGTTTTGAAGCTGCCCCCCCCCCCTCTTCAAGCGCTTTACTGGCCTAGTCACGGAGCCGCCGATTGCGATGCTCAGGAAGGGGCGCCGCTATGCGCCTAACCTGTCTTCTCTGCCCGAGTTGTTGCAGATGCCTCTTTAATTTTTTGCTCTTTCTCTTTCTCATGTTGCAACAGTTCAGTTTTTAAATTGAATTTGAACTGTACATGTTCTGTCTCTTTCTTAACCTCTCTGTCTCTCCTTCCCTGTCTGTCTGTCTGTCTGTCTGTCTGTCTGTCTGTCTGTCTGTCTGTCTGTCTGTCTGTCTGTCTGTCTGTCTGTCTGTCTGTGTATGTGTGTGTGAGTGAGAGAGACAGACACGGAGAGAGAGAGAGAGAGAGAGAGAGAGAGAGAATGAGAGAGTAGATAGGGGATGGTAAAGTAGGATGAGTACTCCTGACGTGCGAACTTGACATTGAATCATCATCATCATCATCTCCTCCTTTCTCACCCTGCATCAGGCCGAACAAACACTTTCCACCTTCCAGTGTCCTGTCCTAGCCTCTTGATGTTATTCCATGTCCTCCCACTTTTAGACATTGAATGGTCATGATAAATTCTTCCGTGCCATTCCCTCCCCCTTTCAATATTCCCACGTACAGATTTCAGAGGCCTTCATTTGTCATCCCTGCCCCACCTTGCTGTCGATATTTACTATGTAAGTTGCGCAGTTGTAAATGATTTTTGTTTTAGCTCTTAAGTCGGAGGAGGGGGGATGTTGAGTGGAATTGTGACAGTTCGTGTGCAATACGTTGAGAGTTAATGGGTGGTTGGCGGGTGCTCTGGAGTGGTTTGCTTCTTCTTTCCTATCAAACATCTACCGTCCTAATCTCCCCTTCTTCTTTTATAACAAATGTTTGTTACTCTCTTATAACACCTCTAATCTTCTGGCGCTCATATGACCGTATGCAGTTGCGAGCGCTGTAAAACCGCTACTAAAACTAAACTAAGTTGAGAGTTACAGCTACATATTATACATGCAGGTCTAGCTGGTTGGAACTATTTTGACTTCAAAGTGACTGTAGAAAAGAAAAAGAAAAAAACCAACTAACTGGTCTGTGTAGAATCACAACAAAAAGAACTTCCGCAACACCCCTAATGAAATTACCGCAACCACCGCCAACAATAATATTAAGAAACCCAAAATAACCCTGTGTCCAATTACATGTGTATGCCGCCAGAGATTGATTTTTAGGACGCAATTCTTTCTCAAGTGTTTCAGCGATTGTCGACTGATGAGATCCGGAACTAGGTTTGCTCTGAGAGTAATGAACTTAATGAACCCAGCTACTTGAGTGGGAGACTGGCATTTGTTTCCCCGTGAAGCTGTATTACTTTGCTGTCTTTACTCTGTTTCTTTTCTTGTTCATAAACGTGTTTCCAGTTCGGAGTCTTATTTCGCTTATGAACATTTTTAACAGGGGATATAATACAGGTAATTGTGCCGCAATTGCCATACACGATTAATTAATTATTTTGTTATCGTGTTAAGAATAACACGAGCTTGGACTCGTGCCACAGACGTCTGCTGTGAGCGCACGTTTCAGCTTTAAGTTGGTTACTAGCAACAAATATTAAAAAGGAAAATTATGAGCATTCTTTTGTTAAATGTTGATTGGAAACACGTGATTTTCAGGAATAGTTCCAAGCTCCCACGTTGAAGGTACGCATGTACTTGTATTTTCAACCGAAAGTTTGGTGGTTTGATAGTTCATCTTCAGGGAGCGGGGATTGGGGGGGGGGACCATTACCCATTGCCATTAGCTTGTCAGTTTATGGAACGGCAGCGGGATTAAGCCTGGCGACCTAATTTAAAATCGATATACATGTATACATTGTACATGTATTTATGCATTTGCTAAGTAAATGCCGTTAGCAAGAAATGAACGTGCCTTGTGTACTATTATAAATTGTGTGTTCCTTCAATCCCCCCCCCCCTTTCCAGGTTTCTTTTTGTGGTCCATATACGTGTATCACTTGCTTTTTGCCACTGTTTGAGAAGCTGTGTCGTTTGTTTACAAATCTGAAAAAAATGTAAAGATCGTGCTCAGCAGAGAATTTAGACTGCGGCTGTTCTGTAAGAATTATTTACGTAGAATTTACATTGGTTCTTGTGCCCCCCACTACTCTTTTTCCATCCCTCTATGCAAGGTTTCGTTTCGGGGGGCTTTTCTTCTTCTTTATATTATTGCTTTTACTAGATCTACGTCGAGAGCAGGTTTGCTGCCGTGGTTGAGCGTTAAGGTAGGGAAGGGATGAAAAAAAAAAAGGCGAGAGAGAGGGAGAGAGTAGAAGAAAGAGGACCGGGTATCTATCTACCCACACCCACCCCTGTCTGTAGCGCACGTTCGTTCGGCTACACGTTCGCACACCTTCCCTTCTGTGCGCTCTCGAGAAGGGCCTTTCTTTCGCTTCGTCCGTCCCGATCGGATGCCACCACCACCACCACTACCACTACCACCACCACCACCACTACCACTACCACCACCACCACCACCCGCGGCCACTGCGTCATCGCTGGTTGGCTTTTCGTATCGGCTTCGTTCAGTGTAGTGGGAAGACGACTTGACGCTGCCTCCTATCCTGGTGGATGTGCTGCTGCTGTGCTGTGGTCGGATAGCGATGGAGATGCCGGACAGTTTTCAGGCCCTGGGTTCAAATTGAACGATAGAGAGAAGTGCTTATGTCTATGGTTCGAGTCCTTGCCCAGGTGTCGATTGTTAGTGTCTTTGTAACTGTTTCGGTCTAGATTGTCGTGCCTTTTTCGTGACGGGGAAAAAAAGAAGATCAACACGATCTGCTTTCCCTTCGGCGCGACGTGAGTAGTAGCTAATACGTCATTGGTCACAGTTTATACTGCCCTTGGTACCCTCTTGGTTATTCGAACAAACTGGATTACCTACTGGTGTTCTTTGGATAATATCGGAGCTGTGAAGGAGAGACAGCCTCCAAAAGTGTGGATTGCAATTGAGCGTCTACTGCTGTGATAAGGTGTGCGCAGAGTTATGTTCCTTGTTGGATGACGTCAATTTGCTAAACGGTAAACACACATCTCCATGCCCCGGGTGTCTTTTCATTGGTTGTAATTGAACGAATTGTGTGTGTGGTTGGCGGGGGCTCTGGTGTGGGTTTTTTTGACGGGTGTTCTAGTGTGGTTTGCACCTTTAAAAAAAATAAATCAAACAATGTATTGTGCCTATTTCTATCCCCTTTCTTTGTATGTTCCTCTCTAGTAACGGTTCTAATATTCGGCACTTGCATGACTTATTTGTGTGTTGCCAGTGCCATGAACCTAAACTAAAACTGAACTGCACTTCTATGAAACTATGCACTAGAAAAAATACCTTTCTCACATTGCATCTGTCTTATGTTATTATTGTTGTTATGTAATGATACGTACAAGACGGCGGTGATAAAACCATCATCATTGTTTTCGCTGCCATCATCGCATTTACCTAACCCCTTGGAGGGTGGTTGGAGGGCGCCTCTTGTAGGTCCTACTTCTTTACTTTCCCTTTATTGTTTCTGTCTGTCTTGTCTGTTACTTTCCCCCCAGCACTATATGACCGGTATCGTGTCGATGCGCTTCTCTTTATTGAAGCAAAAACAAACAAACAAACAAGACCTTTACCAGCAACTGTCGCAGCCATGATCAGCAGCAGCTGCTACAACAACGCTGACAACAACAACAATGTCGTTTATGGCATTGATGGTGAGGCTGCAGAACGCATAGTCAAAAGGGCCATAGGATCGTCCCGATCGATTGCACCGTATGGAGTTGCATCTGTGGGAAAGACACTTTTGTTGCCCATTGGAGGTTCGGTTCGGTTTGGTTCGGATCGGTTTCTGGCGGCTTCAGTGCCCTACTATGAATTAAATAAACCAGGTGTCCCATGGAAGACAGTCCGGTTTACCAAAACTAACAAAGCCGAACCGAACCGAACCGATGATGCCAATGGGCACTGCTCATAACACAATTTTACGCTGTTCCTTCCAGGAGCAAATTGGGTAACAACATCTGCAGCATAGCTACTTCCTGTCCAGGTGATGACGGTGGTTATTGGGGGG